GGAGCACTGGAAGAGGCTGCCCAGGGAGGTTGTGGAGTCTCCTTCTCTGGAGATATTCAAGACCCGCCTGGACAAGTTCCTCTACAGCCTACTGTAGGTGACCCTGCTTCGGCAGGGGGGTTGGACTAGATGACCCACAGAGGTCCCTTCCAACCCGTACCATTCTGTGATTCTGTGGATGATTGCAAGATACTGATAGAAAAGAAGTCTGGATTTGTCTGCATAACCTAGACTCAAATCTTACATCTCAAACCATTTAGGATTTAATATAAATACAACGTATTATTTTTACATTAGCTCTTAGTTATATTAACAGAGGTATTTTGGATAATATAAGGTGTATACTTCTATCTCCTGCAGGTAAGGATGGAGCTCAGCATGAAAGCAGAGAAGAGGACAACCTTGGTGCTGTGGGGAGGCTTGGCCTATATGGCCACTCAGTTTGGGATTCTGGCCCGCCTTACCTGGTGGGAGTATTCTTGGGACATTATGGAACCAGTCACTTATTTCATCACCTATGGTAGTGCCATGGCAATGTATGCTTATTTCGTAATGACTCGCCAGGTAGGACTTGTTGTGCTGAAGCTCTGAGCTCTACTCCCTAGAAAAACAGGAAAATTGTGCCAATTAGAAGTTGCTTTGCCCCTTCCTTATCCTGTTGGAACCTAGATGCCACTTGATTTAATTTGTGCTGGCCAGGATGGGTGGTGTATGGTTGTGGGGTCTTCTGGTGGTCATCGCTGCTGATTTCCTGATTGTCTTACCATAAATGCTTAAGTATGTTGTGTGATTGACTGCTTTAGCTATACAGGTTCATCTGCTGGCAGGTAATGGTTTCTGCACACACGCACCATCGGACACACTGACTTGCACTGGTGGCCTCTAAGTGCTGTGATTTATTAGCCCAAAAAACTGTGGATGCGTGAGGTACCTTCTGAGTTGCAAAGAACACAGCTCTGACATGAGATGCTGGACCTCTTGAAGAGACAAAGGTTCAGGAATCATGTTGGAAATGCTTCTGTTTAGGTATTTCATGGATCTGGCCTCCCATCCAGATGAAAGATCCTCCTCTGGATCCTTGTAGTTGTGACGGATTCTGTATGGATTTCCAGTACATGGTTTGTCTCGTCACTCCCATTTAAGCTTTGTTATCCCACCTAGATAATGGGGTAGGACTCGAAGAGTCTCTACTGTCACAGAACCATCAGCGCAGATGCTGCAGGTGTTCCAGCATGGTGTCCCAGGGGTCTGTCAGCTGCATCATTTCAGTGGTTGAGGACTCATGTGCTGCAATAGTTTCTGCCCAGTGCGGTTGGAACTTCTGCCATGTTTGAACTCAGATTTGATGTTTTAATCATTATCTGTATCAATTAGTACCTCTTCTGCCAGACCTTAAATTCTCACTGTTTCAGGGATGGCTTGACTCTGAATGCAGCTTTTTCTCCACCTGACAGCCCTGATCATTGGATGTATACCAGACACAGAGGCTGTATGATGTTCCAGTGCAAGGGAGAGTTAACTTCAGCAGGCAGACCTGTGCTTTGTGGAGGCTATGTGGGATTTGGTGTGAACAGCTCTGCTGCTCCAAGTTTTCTGCATGCTCTAAAGAGGTGTGACTTTTTGCAGTAGAGTATCCTAGGCACAAGCTGTGGTAGTGGGTTCCTGTTCTCGCTTGCATGGCTTGGTTGAGAGATGAACTTACGAGCAACTGTTGTTGCTTTAGTTAACCATTGCGTGTTTATGATCTTAAGAAAAAGAGAGTAAGGGCCATCTCACAAAGGCTTTCTTCTGGTATTTATTTTTTTCTCCCTTTCTCCCCACAAACTTGTCCGTATTGGAACCCTGGAATGTGTTAGTTTTTGGTGTCTCTGCACAGAAGGATTCACACATTTGGGACAGGAGAGAGGTGATGGTAACTCTGCTGGAGTGTGCTAGTGGAGAAGCAAATGCCTGGTTGTACAGGGTCTGGCTGGGATGGAGTTAATGTTCTTCATAGCAGCTGGTATGGTGTGTTTGAATTTGTGACCAAAAGAGTCTTGATAACGTGCCTATGTTTCTGCTGAACGGTGCTTGCACAGCATCAAGGCCTCACCTGTTTCTCGTTGCTTTTTCCCCCTGCCCCCAGGAATATGCTGTGGGTTGACGAGGTGTTGCAAGGGGACACAGCCGGGACAACTGACCTGAACTGACTAAAGAGATATTCCATACCGTATAATGTTATGTTCAGCAATAAAATGGGGGGCAGGTGCTCCAAAGTAGCTGTTGCTCTGTCACCGTTTAGAGCAGGGCGGCAATAAACAGTGGCAGATGCTCTCTATTAACCCATGTCCTCCCACCAGAGGAACGGGAAAAGGAGGAAAAGGGAGAGAGACTTACAAATTGAATGTAAAAACAGCTATGCTAATAATACTAATAATATTAGTAAGATAAGAGAAATAAAACCATGTACAAAACCGACACTGAGTTTCCTGCAGTTGGGTGCTGGGCGCTGGCGTCCCGCCAGCAGCCACTGGGCAGCACCAGGCAGTCCCGGACTGGCCTCTGCCGTAGGCAGGAACTAGACTCAGGAATGCACGGATTGGGATCTGGATCAGGATCGCAGGCAGGTCAAAGAGCCGGCCATGGACAAAGAGAGCGAGACCTCGTGATCCCCCACCTTTAAGCTGAATATGGCGTGTATGACATGGAATACCCTGTTGGTCAATATCGGGTCACCTGTTGTGTCCGCCCCTCCCTGCAAGTTCGACCCTTTACAGCTCCTCTTTTGCGGAACCTAAAAGGTCTGTTGGTGACCTTGGCTGCTGTAGTAATCATTATAAACAGGGGCCTTTTTCTGCATTCCATTCCTACCGTTAGCTCAGTGTCACTACAAAGATTAGGTGTTACCAGCTTTGGAGTGGATGCTGTCTGTAAAATACGCAGCCAAATTCAGAAGGATGCAGCTACTTAGAAGAACTTAGGTGTAAGGAAGATTGACTAAATGAGAATCGGTTCTGTTTTGACAAACACCAGGATGAGCTCGGAGACTGGCTGGCCATTGGTCTGCTGGTGGGAGGTGGTGAGTGATTGCTTTTGCATCACTTACATTTGGGTTTTTTTCCTCCTTATTAAACTGTCTCTATTTTGACTTAAAAGTTTTTCTTGTTTTTTGCCCTTTTGATTCTCTTCCCCCATCCAGCTGTGGGAGAGAGGTAGTGACGGAGTGGGGGCTTAGCTGCTGGCTGGGGTCACCCCACCTCACTGGGTGACCTTAGACAATGCGGTCTGGTCTTGTGCCTTCACTGACAGGAACTAGTCATCCTCCCAAAACACACCTGATAAATACTATGCTAGTGGTATCCTGTGTTGCATCCTGTTGATTTGTTGTTCCTATAGTCCCTCCTTTTATCTTTTTAGGAATATGTTTATCCAGATGCCAGAGACAGACAGTACTTATTATTTTTCCATAAAGGCGCCAAAAAGACACGATTTGATCTAGAGAAATACAATCAACTCAAGGATGCAATTGCTCAGGTAATTTTTCCAGAAACAAGACAAAGAAATTACTGCTTGCTAGTTCTTAGCTGCTATTAATAGATGCACCTCAAATAAGAATGGATGTGTCTTAAGTTTTTAGCTCATTTTCTTGTCACAGCCCCAGTATGATCACTGAATTTGCTTTGACGTGACCAGGAATAGAACTGCTGGATGCGTAAATCAACATGAAACGGTTGCCTGTATCTATCTGTAAGGGCCTTTTAGAAACTGCTGGCAAATCTTGAGTTGCTTCAGGCACTTCATGCCTCAGAGGAGCCTAATTCAAGATTTCCTTTCTTCTCAGCTCCTACACACCAGATGGATTTAGTGAGGAATGAAGACTTGCATCCATTCAGTTCATGTCTTCCTGACATAGCACTTCAGTGCACTGGGTTGCAGTCCTGGAAAATAATGTTCAAAAAATTTAGCTGTGTTATTAGAAGCAATGGGGGCAGATTTCTCATTCTGGAGACAGACCCTTTTGGTACACTGTCCACATTGTGGGATCTGTTTGACAAAGGAGTCGGGTGGAGATCTGTCCTGGTGTTTCTGAGAGCCTTTCAGCAGAAGGATGGCATAAGCAGGAAAAAGCAGAGCTACCACATTCTCGTTCACTGCCTTGTTTATTCCTGGGCTCTGGAGATGACAGTGTAGGATATCCAGGGCAAGATGTGTTCTCCCCCTGCCTTGGAGAAGGAGCTGTGCAAGCAGTAGAGGGAGGTCAGGGCTAGGCTCTCGTGGTTTCGTGAGAAGAACCAGAAAGACCTCTGGGTTTGCTTGTGCTGTACTGAATACAGATAGCATTGGGTGACTGTATTTTCATGCAGCTTTTCTCCTAGAATCAACCATTCCCATTAATCTAGTTTGTTTGGTTTTTTAAAAAAAAAGTCCAGTGAGTTTATGAGGATCAACTCTTCCCTGCCATATTCTTTTTAAGTGGCTGCGTGTAGACAGGTTCAGAAATGTATAAAGCAGATGTCTTTCAGTAAGTGCCAAGAATGTTTTTTCCAAATATAAGCCTGTGACTTTGTTTACTTCTGGGTAGGAAAAACAATGAAATACAGAAAAGCTTTCTATTCTGTAAAGGGGGGTGGGATTGGTGGAGGTGTATTGGGGGCTTGTTTTTTATAATGTCTCTATTTCTTTTAGGCAGAATTGGACCTTAAGAGGCTTCGAGACCCACTGCAGGTTCACCTGCCCATCCAGCAAATTGATGAAAAGGACTGATCAGCAAAGCAGCTCTGAACCCCGGCAAAAAACCTGTTCATAGCTCTTGCCTTTTTAATTAAAGCATTGCAGGTGGAAGCTGGGAGGTGGTGTGGGGGTGGAGGGTTTTTACCTTTAATCAAGACAAAGGACTATAGTGGGGGAAATCTCTTAAATTGAAGATGGGACATTGTGGAATGTTAGTTCTGAAAAGGGCTTGGAAAATAGTCACATTTAAAAACTGTATGAATTGCTATTGTGTACAATACAGGATTGGGGGGGTTCATAAAAAGAATGTAATGCTGGGGTGTAGGGGTGTCTTCTTCCAGCTTTGCAGGGTCTGCCTCTTGATAAGACACCAGCAGCCTGCTTAGCTTTTTAAATTTACCTTTACCTGATTCAAATCTCTTTCTCTCTCAAATAAAAAAGGAAAAAAAAAAAACAACCAAGGAACAAAGAATCGCCATTAACACGCACACTTCTGATCAGACCTGGTCTCTTTTATAAAGTTACTACAAGACTGCTTTCTACTGGAAAACCGTGAGCTTCCCCTTCCCAGCCCACCCCGTGTGCTCCACTGACTTTCTCCTTTGCTTATTTGTAGCACAGATTGGTTGTAGCCAAGTGAGAGAAGGAACAAGTTTTCTTCTGGACATTTGATAATCGATGTTTTGGATTATTCCATAATAACTATATAAACTGCGTCCCAATGCCCTTGACCTCCTTCTAGAAATCAGTGGCAGCATTGCATGAGAGATTTTTTATATTCAGTCTAAAGGGAGGGAGATTCCCCTCTTCCTACCCCAAATTTGGTAGCCACCTGGACTATGAAATTATGAAGGTTTAAAGGATTATGAAACTGTCACAAAATCGTGACTCCTGCTTAAATGAACACTTTTGGAACGTGGAATAATTAAACTTGATATCTGACTGCTTGTGTAATGGGATAAAACGTCTCATGGTCAAAGCATTTTCCTTGCCAAGAGGCTTTTGGAAAGCCTGGGGCTCTTAGAGTGCAGGACAGAACTACTTCAGTTCTCTAGCACTTTCTCCCACTTAAGTAGCTTTCAATGAACTTTGCGCCCACAGGTCAGAATTTCTTAGGAGTGGCTATTGACATCTCTCTTGGCTAAGAGAAACAGAGGAAGGAAAGTCAACCTATTGCCCTCTTTTCTACCCAAGGCTGGCTGATTTCTAAACAGATAAAACATCTCTTCATTCAAAGCAGGTCAGCCTGTTTTAGCATCCTGCTGATAAATACTGTAGAGACAGGATGAAGGTGGGAGAAGGGCACTAAGCTTTACATACAGAAAAGATGGCTGCTTTTTTGATGTTACACTACTACTCCTCACTGTGTCATGGAAAGAGGCTTCTGTTTTTTTGGAGAACCATGTTTTAAAAAAAAAGGGAAAGAGAAAAAACAAATCAGTATTAACTAGATGCCAGGTGCCTTGCAGATGTGGAAACACAGCTGGGATTGCTGCCTCTTCTCACTCAATGGCATGTTGGACCGAATGGGTGCATGTTTCTAGGTTTTTTTCCCCCCTTCCCCTTTTCCTCTGTCTTTCAATTTAATTACATTGTGTGATTATTTTTTTAATCTGTTTTATCCTGTTTGTGTGGTGAGTTTTAAAGGGAAAACAATGAACACGATCTTGTAGCTGAATCCTTGGTGTGTGTTTGGGATGAGGGAGGGAGCATGGAGAAAAGTCCTTTAAAAAAACAAACTGAACACGTGTAAAATCCTGTATCATTTATGAAATATGTATAAAAGAGCAATGTACTTCTGGAACAATAAATAACTATTCAATTTTTGAATCAGCGCTCTTGAATAATGTTATTTTCCCCAGCTGAGAAGAGAATATTGTATATATGGAGCTGTCTCCTGAGTTTCCTCCATTTCTTTTTGTTTAGGTTCTTTCTTCTTGACCTTACATCACTGAGGCTCTAGTGATGCAGATAATAGCTTTCCTGAAGAAGCTTGGATGGAGATCTTGTTGCCATGCCTAGCTGCGTAACACAGGGATTTCGGGAGCAGTTGTGGTGGTGAGGTAGAGGTAGAGATGTTTGGTCTAACAAAGATCTGCCTTTGACCAGCATAGTGGATGTTAAAAAAATCTGGAGACGTGGCAGGTTGCAGGATAAGAACATATATGGGCATGTAATGCCCAGCAACCTAAAATGTAGCAAGTGATGTCACTATATTTCTGTATTGCATTCAAGTGCTTTTTCAGAGGAAAACTGAAGTTGTAAGCTTCTGTTGCTTTCTTTCTGGGCCCTTGAGTGGCTATGGTTTGATTTGTCGTGATGGCGTTTTGTTTGTTCATTAACTTTGGGAATCAGCGGATTGTACTTTGTCTGAACGTCATGGGTTATTAGCATGAGATGTTTGGTTCCAGAAGACTTTTATCATGTCCTCTGACTGTTTAAAAAAAAAAGAATAAAAATCCATACTTGGCGGGTTCTTAAAGCAGCCAGCTCTCCTGTGTTTTTTAAAGCAGAGAGGATGGGCTGAAGCTGTTAGCTGTTGTGAGCTACCTTTAATCACTGTTGAAATTTAGTTCAGCAGTGCTGACAAACTCTCTTCCTCCAGGCGGCGCTTAGTTGTCTGCTGTGTACAGATGAGCTGCTGCCCTCCCTAGACAAATTGCTTGGAACGGTTGCATAAGAACTCATCCATTTTGGCATCCAGAGGAACAGAAGACTTTGATATCTAGCACTACAATACCTATTCTGAAAGCAAGAAAATGCTGTGACAAAATTGTTCCTGCACATGCTTTGATGTTGTTCTAGAGATGATGTAGGAAAAGGAGTAAAATAAGAGTCTACAACTGTACCCTGAAATTTGGGCTGTCCAGTGCGTCTTGTTAGTCTGTACATCTGGAAGATTGCTGTCTCGCTCCTTTGTGCACATGTGGTCTCTGCCAGGGGTGGATGACATGCCTCAAACTGAAACCTCGGTGCTTCTGCTTTTGTTCTGCTTGAATGCTAACACTGAAGAGAAGTGTGATGTTTGTTTACTTTCCTGATATACACTGTTGTATATCAACATCAACAAACTTTCTTGCAGTAGTTATTTCTTGCCTAGGAGCTGGGCAGGTAATGGAGTCAGGTCCCGCTGGGAGCAGTTTAAGAGCAGGGAGTGCTGCCTGAATCTTCACGTAACGCTGCATTCTTAAGACCCTATGAAGGATAAATGGCAGTGTGCGTTGCAGTGTTCAGATGCTTTTTCTACCAATTTTGCTATTCATTTGGTTAACCTCTCTTCCCTCTCTTTCTGTGAGGGAGCTTTCAAATAAACATGTCAAGTTCAAAATTGTCTGGAGAAGTGCATTAGGTTCCCTTTTTGCCATGCGTGCAAGGCTCTACCTTGCAAACCTCTCCAGATGGGAGTGTTCATGGCTGCTATTTCCAGAAGAGCAAAGAAACAACCCTTTTCCCTGTAACCCTTCCTACCTGGCAGGCAGTGGTGATGATCATCTTGCTGCAAGTTCTGACACTTCCACGCTGGCTCTAAGAGGGTTTGCATGATGCTCTGAAGCTGCTGTTGGTTGGCTGTCAGACCTTGGTGCTATGTCTAGTCATGTGAAGCTCCCCAAGTTGCCTTGTCTTTCTGAGCCGATGAAAAAATTTCTTTGATGTCCTCAGTGTTTTTTGTGTGGAGTTGTAAATGTGAACTGCTTTCCTGTGTGCCACATTGTATGACTTTATTTTCACATAGGAAGGAGATTTTTATATCAAGTGTTTTTCTACCTGTCTCTAGAGATTCTAATTATTCCCTTTAAAAAAAATATCAGTTTTATTTCTGTACTAACACTAAAGAGCTGTAAAGTACAGAATACAAATCAAACTTGCAGTGTATCTAAGCCCTGAAGTATGGGAGAAGCTGGTGTTATGCTGTGTCATTGTGGCTCTGTGAACTTGTAAAAGATGTGTCCTACCCCTGTTTCTGCCCCTGAGTAGTTTAGCAACTGTGGGTGTCTGTGCCCTAATTCTTCCACCTAGAAATTGAGGGTAATTGAAAACACACTGGGTTCTGTTGGACCTGTGGAAAAACACTCTCCAAACGCTGAGTTCTGCATCACCAGGCTCCACTAAGGGAAAAGAAATAACTGCTGCGTTTCACTGGGAGTTATGTACTTGTCCGATATTAATGGCGTTTTGGTGTTTTACTTTTTCTTGCATTGAGTTGTCTGATACTTCACCAAACTTGTGTTCAGTCACTGATCTCAACATCCCTTCCCATTGTTACAGTGTCCTGGGACAAGCTGTTTACAGCAGTCAGGCCTATCTCTAAGTCCTTGACATTCGTGCAATCTGTCTCGGCAGCCTGTCAAGGCTTATTGTGAGCATACATCCTCAGATCAGTCGCAGGCAGGGATCCTGTTGTGTGTGTTGGGTTCTCCTCTCTCTCAGCATCAGGAAGTGCTGATTAGCTCATCCGCCTGCTCCTTCTAGGCAGCCTTCAGGCGTTACTCCTGCACCAAGAGCTGTTCTTCACACACCTCCCTTTCATCAAACATGGGTGTGTCTTGAGAGGTGACACTAACAAAGACAAGACCAGCTTCAGCAAACACCAAAGCATATTTATTCATTAGTCCATTACAAACAGTATGAGGCTTTCCAACCTAGCCAATGCTTTGGATTTAAATTTGGAGAATTTAAGTTCTTGTGTAGGGATGGTAAAGCCCTCCAAATCTCTGGGACGCCCAAGAAGTGTGGTTGCCACCTGCAAAATTAGCATCTTTTCTTGCATTAAGAATAGATATATCCAGGCTTAGACAGCTACAGGTTTAGAAGATCCCATCTCTTGAGTACCAAATAAAATACTAGCCCTCTGTTCTAATGTTGCCTTCCCCCTTTGTATATTTTAACCCATACTGGTAACTACTCTGAGGAAATACTGACTTGATCCTGATTCTTCTTGCTTCTTGGGAAGTCAGGTTCATTCGTCTTTGGGGTGGGAAGTGGAGGTCAGGAACAACAGCTTTACCTGATCTGCCTAGAGAGTGTAGGCCCTACATCATCTAAAGTTCTCCATTGGAACTGTATCCTCTTTCCCAGAAGGTCTGTTTACAGGAGGTTTTTTTATTTGTTTGTTTTTTCCCATCTTCCCCTCTCAGGAATAATTGCTTCAGCTCCCTGAGGCATAGATTTGCAGTGGTCTACTCCAATATAGGCTACTATTGTTTGAGGGGGAACTGGAGCTATGTATGTCACCTGAAATAGCTTGCAAAGCAAAGAGAAAGTGCTGATAGAAGAGTTGCCTCTGCTGGTGCTTCTTCTGGAAGACTGAGACAGTCTTTCTTTTTCCTGTGGATCCCAGAAAAGTTTAGAGGCAGCGCACTGAATCTTGTCCAGCTTTAGACTGTTTTCTTGAACTAAATGTTATGGTGATTTGGGGTGGTGTCATCTCTGGGAATGCTGGGGCATCTCCTGCTTTAATCCCTTTTGGAGAACAT